ACGTAAAAAATGTCTGTAAATTAATAATTTTCGAAACATTCTGATGCCAAGGGTTCAACAGAAGCTGTTTTAAAACTTAAGTGTAAACTGTCAATTTTCTCGAAATTTCGTAATTTTTGAAAAATCGTATTTCAGTTAAAACGAGTTGATACTAAGGTTCTACCGAAACCATGTTATCATAAATTTCCTAAAATATATTGATTATTAAGAATCCAAACATCTCGAGAACGGTTGCTCGCAGCGATTTTTACCAAGAGACATTTTCTACGTAGAAAAAGACACAAATGTATAATTTTTCACTCAGTAGTGTAATACAGGGACAGACGAAAAGTTATTACTCTTCAAAACAGTTAAAAAATATATAGGTGGCGCCCCCTACAAGAAGGAAATATCTCATGTCAAAAAATCCCCGGATACTAATTTTCATTCAAATACTGAATTTAGTTCAGAAATTATTAGGAAAAAATCGAAATAAATATAAAACTTCTACACCCTGTACCTCCGAAACGAAGCATTTTAAGACATAAGTTCATACGAACTTTTTTACTTATTTTTATGTGCAGAATATGCTGCCGAAGATTTCGGAATATAGTTCGGACCACCCTGTATATAAAAGTAGGTATATTTTTACAACAGCCGACGTGTGCTGTGCAAATTAGAATCTTTTATTTTAATACGACCTTGAACACCTCAATTACAAACATTAATTAACTTCGCAAAGGCTTTAAATATTGACAATATACCTAGCACAGGTAAAATATATTCATTAATATATCTGAATTTTGTCTAGAATGGCTTATTACCTCCTTCTTTAAAATGATATTACAGAATAGCAATCACTGGTAGTGATCGATACAGTGACTATGAGTCAAAATGTTACTAGAAACCGATTTTGCAACATTTTTTTGTATTTAGCGGTACAAAATAAAATCACTCGTGTGAAGTTGGCACCCTTTTTTCAAAAAATGAACTGGAATTTGAGAGTTCTGGATAGATTTACAATAGTTCTATAGTTCTTGATAAGTTAGAAAAATAGTTCTGGTTAATTTCGGGAGATATGACATGGGGGTGCCAACTTCACGTAGCACCCTTTTTTTATTCTGGAACAGTTCTGATAGTGGAAATATATTCTAGAACAAGAGTTCTATAGTTCCTGACTATTGATCAAAATAGTTCTATTGTATTAACCAAGATATGAACAAAAATAAAACGGCAGCCTGCGCAGTTTAAATCGATTTTCTAGGTAAAAAATGATTTAAAAAATAGTTCTGAATAGAGTTCTGAATAGCACCCCAAAAGTTCTATAAGATGTACTATTTGATTTTTTAAAAATACCAATAATTAAAAATTTCATTGATGCTCGACTCTATAGATAGACATAAAAATCGACTTTACGAAGGAAATGCAATGTTGAAAAACAGTTCTGAATAGCACCCCAAAAGTTCTATAAGATGTACTATTTGATTTTTTTAAAAATACCAATAATTAAAAATTTCATTGATGCACGACTCTATAGATAGACATAAAAATCGACTTTACGAAGGAAATGCAATGTTGAAAAACAGTTCTGATTAGAGTTCTGAATAGCACCCCAAAAGTTCTATAAGATGTACTATTTGATTTTTTAAAAATACCAATAATTAAAAATTTCATTGATGCACGACTCTATAGATAGACATAAAAATCGACTTTACGAAGGAAATGCAATGTTGAAAAACAGTTCTGAATAGCACCCCAAAAGTTCTATAAGATGTACTATTTGATTTTTTAAAAATACCAATAATTAAAAATTTTATTGATGCTCGACTCTATAGATAGACATAAAAATCGACTTTACGAAGGAAACGCAATGTTGAAAATCAGTTCTGGTTAGAGTTCTGAACAGCACACCAAAAGTTCTATAAGATGAACTATTTGATTTTTTAAAAATACCAATAATTAAAAATTTCATTGATGTCCGACTCTATAGATAGACATAAAAATTGACTTTACGAAGGCAACGCAATGTTGAAAAACAGTTCTGGCTAGAGTTCTGAATAGCACCCCAAAAGTTCTATAAGATGTACTATTTGATTTTTTAAAAATACCAATATTTCAAAATTTCATTGACTCCCAACGTTATGCAGTATGTCCCCGGATTTGAGGAAAATGCATTTTTCATAAAAAGTTTTACTTGTTCTTAAATGGTTAATCCCGTTCATACTTTTCCAAATTTCCATACCGCTTTAGAAAAAATTAAAAAAAAAACATGGAGGTATTATTTAATTTGATCGAAGTCCTAAAAATCAAAAGGCATTTCTATGATAAATACTATAACTTTGACTAAATTCTTTGATGGATGGTTATTATAAATTTTGATTAACGTCATATATTTTGGTCTTTCAAAATATCACACTTTTCGTAGTATTGTACTAAAAAAGATTTGTGCTTCTTTAACATTTCAAAACAGCAAAAAATATGGCTTTAATTAAAAGCTATCAATAACAATCAAAGAATGAAGATGAAATTATATTACCACAGAAACGCGTTTCGATTTTTAGGATTTTTCAACCATATTTTCATGTTTTCTTTAAATTTCTTTAAAACGGTATGGAAATTAGCAAAAGTATAAACAGAATTAACCATTTTAGAACAAGCCAATATTTTTATGAAGAATGCATTTTTCTTTTTTCTCAAAATAGGTCTCATAGAGGTTGACTTTAAGAGCAAAAAATAATATTGAGTAATAGCAAAGTAATAGTCAGACTAGAGTTTTTAATAACAGAAATTTTATAAAAAGATCGAATTACTTTGCATCTATGAAACTTACTATATCGAAAATTTGGTTGGCTCTGATTGATTCTAAATTACGTGGCAATAAAACTGATTAAATGAATATTTATGTAACATGATATATTAATTTTTTCTTTGGTAATAGTTAGGTTAGTTTTGTCACACTGGATATCGTTATTTGGTATATGTGTAACTCGACACCCAAACAAAATACAAGGGCGAGTTTTTCAAGAACTGGCCGATTCGTCCTAATAAAAACAAAGCCAGAGAATTTATTACACAAAGGCTGCGTCTAAAAAATACCATGGGTTTATAAAATATTGAGTCGTTATAAATAGAATATAAAGTATGGAAAGGTATTATATAAAGCGTTCTTGGTAAGAACGTACATATTTTTGTAAGGTTAAATTTGTGATTTAATTATTTTGCCCCTTTTGAGATTAAATTATATTTTATATAAATTTGAAGCTAATAAATACATGTAACTTTGCATTCGTAATATTTCTATTCTCTTGTTTTTCATATAAATATCAAAGAATCTCACACCAGAACTTTTTTCAACATTGCATTTCCTTCGTAGAGTCGATTTTTATGTCTATCTATAGAGTCGGGCACAAATGAAATTTTTTATTATTGGTATTTTAAAAAATCAAATAGTACATCTTATAGAACGTTTTGGGTGCTATTCAGAACTCTAATCAGAACTGTTTTTCAACACTGTATTTTGCGCGTAAAGTCGATTTTTATGTCTATCTATAGAGTCGGGCATCAATGAAATTTTTAATTATTGGTATTTTTAAAAAATGAAATGGTACATTTTATAGAACTTTTGGGGTGCTATTCAGAACTCTAATCAGAACTGTTTTTCAACATTGCATTTTCTTCGTAAAGTCAATTTTTATGTCTATCTATAGAGTCGGGCGTCAATGAAATTTTTAATTATTGGTACTTTTAAAAAATCAAATAGTACATCTTATAGAACTTTGAGGTGCTCCAGAACTCTAACCAGAACTGTTTTTCAACATTGCATTTTCTTCGTAAAGTCGATTTTTATGTCTATCTATAGAGTGGTACATCAATGAAATGTTTAATTATTGGTATTTTTAAAAAATCAAATAGTACATCTGATAGAACTTTTGAGGTGCTATCCAGAACTCTAACCAGAACTGTTTTTCAACATTGCATTTTCTTCGTAAAGTCGATTTTTATGTCTATCTATAGAGTGGTACATCAATGAAATGTTTAATTATTGGTATTTTTAAAAAATCAAATAGTACATCTTATAGAACTTTTGGTGTGCTATCCAGAACTCTAACCAGAACTGTTTTTCAACATTGCATCTCCTTCATAAAGTCGATTTTTATGTCTATCTATAGAGTCGTGCATCAATGAAATTTTTAATTATTGGTATTTTTAAAAATTCAAATAGTACATCTTATAGAACTTTTGGGGTGCTATCCAGAACTCTAACCAGAACTGTTTTTCAACATTGCATTTTCTTCGTAAAGTCGATTTTTATGTCTATCTATAGAGTCGTACATCAATGAAATGTTTAATTATTGGTATTTTTAAAAATTCAAATAGTACATCTTATAGAACTTTTGGGGTGCTATTCAGAACTCTAACCAGAACTGTTTTTCAACATTGCATTTCCTTTGTAAAGTCGATTTTTATGTCTATCTATAGAGTCGTGCATCAATGAAATTTTTAATTATTGGTATTTTTTAAAAATCAAATAGTACATCTTATAGAACTTTTGGGGTGCTATTCAGAACTCTATTCAGAACTATTTTTTAAATCATTTTTACCTAGAAAATCGATTTAAACTGCGCAGGCTGCCGTTTTATTTTTGTTCATAACTTGGTTAATACAATAGAACTATTTTGATCAATAGTCAGGAACTATAGAACTGTTGTTCTAGAATATATTTCCACTATCAGAACTGTTCCAGAATAAAAAAAGGGTGCTACGTGAAGTTGGCACCCACATGTCATATCTCCCGAAATTAACCAGAACTATTTTTCTAACTTATCAAGAACTATAGAACTATTGTAGATCTATCCAGAACTCTCAAATTCCAGTTCATTTTTTGAAAAAAGGGTGCCAACTTCACACGAGTAATAAAATCATATTTTACGCGCGACCATGCAATATAAACTAATTTGCACATTTAGAAAAGCCTTAAATATTAATGAACAGTATGAACACTCTGTAAATAATATATTTACCTGTAAAGTTAGTCCAGAACGACATAATTCCTTCCTTCTGATGTAACAAAATACCTAATCACTAATATCGATCGTTCACAAACAAGCGCGATATTTGAAAAAGCCGGACGAATACACTAGCTGCGAATCAAATCGTTACTAAAGAATTTTTTGCAACAGTCGTGTTAAGCGGCGTAAAATAGAATCAGAATAATTTATTTTAATGCGGTAGCTCGCGTGGGAACAACATAATATAGCTGACTCGTTATAGTGTGGTTTCATCGATATTTTTTCTCTTCAAAGTATTGACCACCACGTTACTTAATAAGATATTTATGCTAAGGTCTGGGCATCGGGTAACACTGCTCGAAGGCAAAGTTAATTTTGAGCTTGGGTTATCAGATCGGCCAGCGTATTTTCTATTAAGTTATTAAAATTTTATTGTCGGTGAGTCATTCAGCGTTTGCTACGCAGTGGTTTGAAGAGTTCATGTTTATTTCTGAGGTGCCTACATAATAAAATACTAGGAAGAAAATGTCCGAATAACTTAAAATAGTTATTTGTTAACTGATTATGATGCGTCGACCTATTCAAATTCGTAAAACTTTTGTAGTTACACATTCTTTCACAAGGGTAATGCAGCATGAGAAAAAACAATAAGGCGATATTATTATATAACTTGGTAATATTTGAGGGGTAGTTTCATCTCGTTGGAATTTGACTTTCGAAAAATCCGTTTGCCAAAAATAAGCTTTTTACGTCAAGCAGTTTAAGCAGAATCGTGGTTAAGAAATTAGCCAACTTTTTAGAACACCCTGTATAATTTTTTAAAAAATTTCAAAATATGTAAAAAAAACAAAATAAATTATGTTTGTCCAAGCGTTTTCCCGAAAGACTAACCGTTTTTTAAATAACAAATATTGTAATATTTGAGAGGCGTTTTCACCCCCTTGGAATTTGAAATTCGAGAAACCCCTCCTTATCGAACCCCTACCTCTACAGTCAATCCGTTTGCCAAAAATCAGCTTTAACAGTCCAGCAGTTTAAGCAGAATCATGATTACTCAATGGTCATATTTTATGAAACACCCTGTATAAATTTATAAAAAATCTTAAAATATGTAAAACAACAAAATAAAATATACGTGTTTAAGAGTTTTTCCGAAAAACTCACCGGTTTTTAAATAAAAAATATTTGAATATTTGAGGGATAGTTTCACCCCCTTAGAATTCGAGTTTCGAAAAATCCCTTCTTATCGAACCTCTACACCCTAAAGTCAATCTGTTTTCCAAAAATCAGCTTTTTACGTAAAGCGCTTTAAGCAGGATCGTGATTAATCAATGACCAGATTTTTCGAAACAGCCTGTATACATTTTTAAAAAATCTTAAAATATGTAAAAAACAAAATAAAATATCCGTGTTTAAGCGTTTTTTCGGAAACTTGGCCGTTTTTTAAATAAAAAATATTGTAATATTTGAGAGGTGGTTTCACCCTCTGGGAACTGGAATTTCGAAAAATCCCTTCTTATCGAACCTCTACACCGTAGAATCAATCTGTATGCCAAAATTGAGCTTCTTACGTTGAGTGGTTTGAGCAGGATCGTGATTAATCAGTGTATCAGTCACTTAAGGATTTTATATATTAGTATAGATTAATTTCCTAAAAAATGACTTTTGAATGTCCTGTTCTATAGTATTTTTTTATACTAGCAATGTTAATCTTTGCCTTATTAATTGTGATAATATACTGATATAAAAACTGTTACAGAATTTAAGTTCAAAGATTTCTCGACATTTTGGTTGCATACAATCAAAAATATTCCAGTATAATATTAACTCAATTATTTAGCTATTTCTTATTTTATTTTTAAACACATAAAAAATATCAGTATTATAAACTAATACTATGTTCTCAGGTAAAGTTAACGCGCTGTATACATATTTGCTATTATAATTGATACCTATAATGATAGATACACAATGGCAACATCAGTTAATTAATGTTATTCCCAGAAGATTAATATGATACACGCGCATCAAAGATATTGGTAGGCATTCATTTATTTTTATCTTATTGGCTCTATAACTAATCTTCACTAAAGTCAATTTGGTAATTTCTTTGCTAATTATCAGTTATACTAAATTCTGTTCCTATAATATAATCGATAATGACTACATTGTGAAGAATGAAATTCTGTTATTTTGACTCTATAAGACGATTTATTATTATGTATCAGTACTATAAGGGTACTATCGACTTCTCGGCAAAAAATATCATCAATATATCCATATTGTTTTTTTCCAGTTTTTTCCTTCATATTATTTTAATACAAAATGAATTACCCTTTGCTTCCTAGCGGCGGATTTTTTAGAACTAAGTCATATATCTCAAACTAGTAGAGTGGATCAGTTAAATGAAACTTTTATTACTCATTCTGCCAACTTAAAATGTTAATTAGTCAAATGTATTATGAAAAAAATTGTGTGTGCACTATTGTTGCATATTTGAAGTGAAACTTCACACTTCTCACTTCCGTCTGTCTGTCTGAAGACTCCATTCGGGTACCTCTATCCACGTGCCGAGTTTGGTTCCAATCGACCCATAATTAAGAAAATTCCTGATGATTTTGTCCATTTAGAGGCATGGGTTCGAAACGCCGAGGGCGTCATCCTGTAGCCCGTCCCCAATTATGCCGAAATCGACACACATTTTTCTTCAATATCAAATCGCTAATCCCACCCTGACGAAGATGTAAATGAAACGTCGCATCCAACATTGCAGTGTAGGCTAACTGTTACAGTAACACGTGTCGTACACGGTCAAGTTGGCCTCCAATCTATCAACATACCAAAATTCATTTAAATCGAAGGATTTTTTGATTTGACTCATTGATGATGGGGTTTCGTAGTGATTAGAAACCCTAAATATATATAGTTCAGTAATTTGTGTAGATATCTATACACTGTAAATTTTATATTAATTTAAAATAGCTATAAAATATAATATTACTCTCTACTCAGTTCCAATTATTTTTAATTCTGGCAAGATTTTTATTAGTTTCTTTTGTACCAATAAAATTAAATGAAAATGAACTATAGATTATAGGAGAGGTAATGCTATAGATAGATTATATTCCATTTAATGTTTCGGGTGACTTGCAACTCCAGTACTATTTCAATACAAAAATCTATGGATATTTATATTCTACTGAGCGTTATATATAATTAGAAATATATTTGACCTCCAAAATACTTTTACACTTAACTATTTTTAAGTAAAGATGGCCCACATTTTTGCACCCACTAGCCAATACACTACTCAGGCATTGGCGTGCCATAATAAAACGAATTAAACTAATTATGAAAAAAGAAAAAAAAAGTGTTATGTAAAACAAATTAAATAGCGTCTTTTTGTGTCGGGAATTAAATAATAAGTATATTAATATTAGAAAATTTATTTTTTGAACAAATTACACTAACACAATTATATCTACTATCTTCGCTAAAAATAGAATACTTTGAACAACTTATGACGAAAATACTAATTAATCTAGTTATGTCATTAAATTCGCTCCTTATACAGGGTGTTTCAAAAAACTTGTGCCATGCCTCGTGGGGAGATTCCTCACGTAAAAATAAGATTTATTTTTCATATCAACATAGGTTCGATGTTTCGTAGCTACAGGGTGTTAAAGTCTTATTATTTTTTTGATTTATTATAATTTTCTTCCGAGTATTTTTAGCGTTTCGAATGAAATTTTGAGGGTAAAAGTTACTATAAATGCGACATATTTTAAAGCTAAAAAAGTGTCGACACATTCACCAGGGACGTGCATATGTGTTATCACTGGAATATTTTTTTAACAAAGCATGTACGCCACTGACTTTTCTTTCTCTTGTTAGCGAAATAGTGTAAGCCGTTTAATGCCGATTAAAAATTGTCTCTTGATATTTTGCCGATTTCGGTCTCCTTGATGAGATAAACGCAAATTTATTAATTTGCCTTGATCCAAGTCTAATCGCAACCTTTAAATAAATGTAATAGCATTAACTTGCGAAAGTTTTAAATAAGTACTAGTTGATTTCTTGTCAAAAAATATGAAAAAAAGTTCCTATAAACATGGATATGGAAATGCATAGTTTTAGAGTTACAGGATGTTTTTTTTATTTGAAATTGCTGTAGGTTAGACTAATAGCAATAATAACTAATATTAATAATACCTAATTTTAAAATATATAATTTATTAATTTTATTTTTATTTTATTATTACAGTTGATTAGGTAAACCAAAGGATAAAACACCTCCACTGGAAAGGTCGGGTATTTATGAAATTTCTTGTAAAGATTGTAATCAGAAATATGTTGGGCAAACTAGAAGATCAATATTAACTAGATTTAAAGAACATTTAGCTCAGATAAGATATGGTAGACCGGATAAATCTTGCGTTGCCGAACATATTGTTGATAAAGAACATTGTATAGATCTTAATAATTTAAAATTAACTAAACAAGTCTCAAATTACAGGCAATTAGATGCATATGAAAGCATCAGAATTAATAAATGTAAAGATAGTATGAACAGAGTCAACGGTCCAATTACTTCAACGGACCTATGTGATATGAGAAATAAATCTTATCTTATACGTAAGGAATCTCCCCACGAGATATGGCACATGTTTTTTGAAACACCCTATATACAGCCGAGATTAATTTCTTTTTAGACTAGATTAAAAAACAATAACTGACAAATATCACGTCAACATTTTATAAAATATTGCTGGCAAAGTTTGTCCAACTAGCAGATACAGTGATGACAGTGACGTTATTTGAGAAGAGAGTTCTGTCAAAAAATGACAGAATATTCTGTTTTTTTTGGCGTGATCTGTCCAAATGTTTCCTTACTAGTTGGACAGACTTTAGCAGAAATAATAATAAATAGAAAAAAAATGAATTATAAAAGAATATAGTGTTAGTAATCTTCAACTTCCGATTTCACATAAACTGATTCCACCTCTAAATCAGAAGAACGCTCATTATCCAAACTGTTGTCTATCGGTGTATTGTATTCTTCCTTTAAAATGATCAATTCTTCAGAGTAATTTCGTGGATCTAATTCATGCTTAATATCAATATTTTTAATTTTCCTTTTATGTATACCATTGAGATGAGTATTTAAAGTTCTTTTATGCTTGAATCTTTTGTTACAATAAGTACAATCAAATGGTTTTTCTAAAATTATATTTAAAGAAGTGAGATAATTAAATATAAATTCTAACGTAGGATTATTACCTTTATTATGTTTTTTCATGTGCGATTTCAAATAGTCTTTAGTTTTATATTTATTTCCGCAATTGTAACATTCAAATTCCAATTTGGTAAGGTGTGATTTTTTGTGAGTATAAAGTCTCCTAAAATTATTATTAACATAGGTCTGTTGATTGGGACCCAAAGCAAAGGCATGATTTTAATGTAAAAATTTCAAAAAAATGTGTCAGTCTTCTTCAAAAGCAAATAACTCCAACAAAAATAAAGCTATTGAGATAAACCAAAAAACTAACTATTGAGAAAAACTGTAAGTACCTAGATGATGAAATTATTTTTTATTGCCTTGCTTTGTTATTATATACAACAGGGTGTTTCAAACTTTCACCAAAAAAAAAATAATCAAAATCGGCACACTAGAGCAAAATATATTAAAACTTTAAAATACATTAAAATTTAAAGGTGCCCGTTTTTTGTGCAGGTGAGTGTAGAAAAATGGTGATATAGAAGGGATATTCTGGTTGTAGCTACTTAATTAGTTAAATAATTAGATATTTACCTGGAACTTTTAAAATCCTTGTTGCATTGCGTACATTTGAAGGGGCGCTCTTCTGAATGGATTGGAATATGATTTTTCAGACTTACTTTGCTGGTATAAAATTTTTTACATACAGGGCATTCAAACCTTCTCTCATTAGTATGAGTTACTGAATGCAATTCTAAATTGTACCTTAAAATTATTAACGTAAATACAAAGATACAAAGTATATTTCTCTAGATCACCTATTGGAGAACAGCATATCACATAAAGGACATTTGAAACATTTATCGTGACTCTTGCTATGATTATTTAACAAAAACCTATTAATAAATGTCTTGTCACAAATATTACACTGGTTTTTGCCACCGTCATTGGTATGTTGTACTCTTATGTGCTCTTTTAGATTTTTTGTACTGGAATATGCTTTCTGGCAATATTGGCAAATATTTATTTTTTCTAAAAAAATCCTGTATATGAAAACAGACAATTATTTGCCATAGCAAAAAGGGGAAAATAAATATGAAAAAAAAGAAACCAAATAAAGAATAAAAATGTATCGTTTTTAATCAGTTAGGAAATATTTAAGTATATAAACTGTTAGTTAAGAACCTACTTATATAAATTACAGAAACATAACATATTGTTAAGAATTAATTATTAAAATACCATGCATCAGAAAAGTTTAGTAATAAAATAGTATTAAGTATTTTAATATTATTTTTTAATTAGTGGTACTTTTTTATTAATGTCATACCTGATATAAAGTCCCTTTTAATTTCCATTTTAAATATTTCCTCAAATCTATAAATATAAATAACAAAAAGCCTAAAGAAAAAAAAAATAAAAACATATATTTTCTTTCTAATTTAATCAAATTAACCTTCAGTAGTATGTTCTTCCTTCTTGTGCTTGCCAAATTCTGCTTTGTCATAAAACACCTTGTCGCAGTATTCACACTCATTTATTACGTGAGATCTTTTTACATGCCGTTTTATCTTGTACATTGTGGTGAAAATTTTATTACAATATTCACAAGGAAATGTTAAATCTTTATGCTCTTTCAAATGAGCTTGCAGTAGTGTTTCAGTTTTGAAGATTTTGTCACAAATTATACATTTTGGCTTAGGAACTTCCTCTCCATGTTTTTGAGTGAGATGTCGACAATACTCATTTAGTAAATTAAAATCTTCATTACAAATCTATAATTATAAATCAAATATACAATAATTTGTTACGATAAGCTTTCATTACTTAAAATGAGCTATTAAAATATCAGCACTAAAATACAAATTGCAATAAAACCTTGCATATAAAATCCTTAATTCTTTTAGCATGGGTATCGATATGTCCTGCCAGTGTCCTTTTAGTTTTAAAGGTCTTTTCACATTTCTCACATTTAAAATTATTTTCATCCCTATGAGAGTCCATATGACACTTTAAATGATTAGCTGATGTAAAACCTTTACTACACTTTGTACATTTAAATGGTTTTATCCCATTATGTATATTCATATGTTCTTTGAGCTGAAATTTACCAAAAAATAATATTTATTTAAATATTAAAATAATGAGTTTTATCAATACCCTTGTTACTCCGCGGCATAGGAGATTGCAAATTGTGCAAGTTCGTTTCTTAATTGAATGTTCTGCTTTATGCAACTTAAAATCAGAGAATTTTTGAAATGTATTAATACATTCGTGACATCTATATACTGTAGTCTCATTTTCGATGATCTGCCTTTTTTTAAATTCAATATCGTTGCAATTTTTGAGTTTTATATCGTCATATTTGTTTAAAGTTTCGTTATTGTATATAAAACATTCGTGAAGTGGCTCTTCCTTAACAATTAAACTTATTTCACTTTCAATTTTTGGGACAAGAGCATCGCCAAAGTATTCTATACTGTTACTGCTATCATTATCCATTTTTTCCTGTGATTTTTTCAGGGAAAATTAAAATAAATTGATTTTAGAAAACATGAATATAAAAACAATTACTAAAAACCTATGCTAAAAACGTCAGTTTGAAATAGAATGACCACAGAACATCCACAAAATCACAGAATCAAAGTGTACATAGATCATAGATAAAGGAATACAACCCAGAAATATAAAAGTGTTTTATATATGATCCCATTATTTTTATCAATGGACAATTTAATCAATTTTCATCAACGCTGTTTCCAACAATCCCGTAATTTGAAAATGTGGTTTTTATTTGCTTGTTTATTAGGTTAATCCAAGTTAATCCCATTAATAGCCTTGATAGTCCTAACAGCTGAGATTATTTGAATTAAAAAAAAGAAGATGTTATTGATATTTGACAGTAATTGCAATCAAATGTCAGTTTGACAATTTCACTTTTATTGTAGGGTTTGTTACTTTGTCTGAAAAATGTATTACGAAAAAAGTTGAAAATCTTAGAAATTCAGTGCACAATTTAAAAAAGTTATACTTCTAAGTACCATCTAAATATGAACGGTGAGGATGGTGATGATAATTGGTTAACGGGATGGGAGCAGCAATGTGCGGAGAGTGTTGAAAGTGAACCCGATTATGATCAACGCTTGGCAGAAGAAAATGAAAATTTTCAGCGTCGAGTTTGGTCCGATTTTCAAGACTCTGCTACAGCAATAGCACAATTATACAGAGGTACCTTACTCATATTTCCATTATAACAATTAGTTAAGGATTGCATTTTCTTTGTCATTGTTATGTACTTATATTTTGTAAGCAGACATTTTGTTGACATATGAACATTCATATTCATCAAAAATCAGCTGTTTTTGCATTTCACATCACTTTTTAAAAAAGCCTTATTTAATAATTAAATACAAGTAGGTTGAAGTGTTTTTTTTATTAATTACATACATTATGCATAACTATTTTATTTGATGCATATATTTATGTAATCAATAAGATTTCTGTAAAGTAGTAATCTAACATAGATATACTCTTTTTTAGATCGGTATACTGGAGAGCCACCAACAATATGGTTACAATTTCAAACAGCTGCTGGGACAGTAACAAAGCTTTATAAAGGTAAATTATAATTAATTACTTATTAGAGATCTTCATTTCTGTATAACTTCAGAATCTTGTGAGAGCTTTAAAAAAGTCACTGAATTAGCTAAGCAAAGTGGATATCAAAAAAGAAATAGCGAATTATTAAATTGGGCAAAAAGGAAAAGACGTTTAATTAGGCGAGAAGATCTTTTGGCTTATTTAGCTGGAAAACCATTACCACCTCGACAGGCTCATCATCATCACGGGCATCATAGGTGGTAATTTCAAATTAAAAAAAAAGTTGGAAACTGATTTCAACTGTTTTTATAGGTTATCTCCAAGATCTTGCAATGTATCTCCACCTCCTCATCACAGAGATTCTTCCAACAGCACCCCACATTTAATTGACCCGAATTTACATATGTTTAGAGAAGCTTTAACAAATACTAGAAGTGGAACACTTAGGAACTCATCTCAAGGTGATCCAGACTTATGTTCGTTTATAGCAGGCGAAATGGCTAGACACGGAGCTAAAAGATCTGCTTCACCCAATGATGTAACTATGGGTAGTCCCACTCACCAGAAAAGACCACGCTATATGTGATTAAGTGGTATGTAATTTTACTTGCCACTGATTTGGAATAAAGTATCAAGAACATTTATTTTTAGAAAACAAATAGGAGAATTTGGTCATTTGGAAAATTCAAGCTTATGCAAATTAACTGTTTCGGTGATATATCAGAACACTCTTTATTTAGGCTTTTTTTTAATAAATTGTTAACACTTTATTGGTGCCTGTGTGCCCAAAATGAAATAAGTTGTGCACCAAAGAGAGGTATAATATTTTTTCTAGGTTTTCTCATTTGTTTATTGTTATATACTTTAATTTATTATACACCATCTAATTTTTTTAATTAATAAGAAAACTTATTTTATTATATTTATAATTTAAATAAACAAATTGTGCAGATCAACTTTTAAAGGCAAAAGAAAATAAATTTTATTTTATCTAAAATATGTTTCTCACTAATATCATTTATACAGAATCTTTAAACACATTGCCATAAGCAGACATTTTAGAGGTATTTATTTACTTTTATTGTTAGTAAACAAGAAAAAAATTGTTGTTAACAGTTATTTATGAACTCTTCATAAGGTATAATGGCCGATACACTATGATTTTGTGGTTCTACAAAAGTCTCTATTTACAGTTTTATATCAGCTGCTTAAATAAATCTTTAGAAACACCATTATAAAAGGCTGGCGTGTAGAAAACAAGAAAACCAATATACAGGTTATTTAGTCAAATATTATACAGGGTGTGCCAAAAAGTTCACAACAAATGGTATTTTTTTAAATAAGTATATAATAATGTTTTTTTATGAATCATATGGTTTATCATAGTGTATGGGCTGTTTAATATAACTGACAAATTGTATTAAATTTTTGTCTGCTGATTTAGAATAGTGGTGGCTCCTCTTAGACTTACGTTTGTATAAAATGTAATTTCTAAATTAAGTACAGATAACCTAAAAGTTACATCATATTCGTCATAATTTACAATGAAATTTATATATAATTAATATATAAAAATATTTTTTAAAGTATATAAATTTACGTTTATAATATATTGCATTTTTCTAAATCATTTATAAGCTATGAAGATAAGCTGGAATATAAAAGAAATTAAAAATGGTAAATAATGGTTACATTTTGTTTAAACACCAGAAACTCGAGTGATTTTTTATTTATTTAAATACTTTGTCATTAGTTGTCTTATTGCATCTTATTTAAAATACATTACTATTGTTAATATTAAAACAATAAATTTTATTTTACCATTATAAAAAATTTAGTTATTTTAACCATTCAGAAGTAAGGAATCATTTTTTTGCATAGTACCTTTCCCTTAAAACGAAATTATAAGATCAAATTTATTTTGATCATTATATTTTCTACACATAGGTTATCTGTATCTTTATATACTTTTAATAAAATATAGGAAGTAATTATCCTGTAAATACACTATTACTAAGAGAAAACGTTAATTTAGGGGATTGTTTTTATTAAAAACAACAGTAATAAAAAGAGATGTGTATGGTTAAACCCAAATATAATTTTTTACCAAATGGTTGTTCAACAGAAAACTGTACATCTTTAGTGCCATTGAAAAATAAATTAAATAAGACATTTATTTCTTAATTTATGTTATATACAATAATTACTAGTTACAGATTCTGTTTCTTTTTCATTATGTCAACTCTACCTAATATGTATAAATTCTCTGATATCTGAAGATTTACAGTTTTGCTTACAAACTTGTTAAATACTTTTCTCGATTTGAATAAACATAAGTATATATTATGTAAATACCAGCGTATACATAACTTTTTGTATTATATAGCGTATTGTGGTTAATTTTGACTTAAGGACTTACTTTTAACATTATAAATATTAGGTTTGTATAATTTGAAGAGAACGGGAGTAAATAACTTCATTTTAACTATAAATATATTAAAAAGAATCAATTGCTATCGTTATACACATGGATTATGCAATATATAGGGTGGCCTAATTAGAATCGCACTATACAGTTCTCCTTCATTCTGTTTTATTTTTATCAGTATACTTTTTCAGTCTTTGAAAAACATTGAATTATGTCGCTTAAATTCTACTTTTTATATCTGAATTCTGGGATACGTATACGTCTACTGGATTTGCGTCTATGAAAGGAATTTCAAGAATGGGGAAACAATATTGGAGTATAATCAATTTACTACAAAAATCTTTTAAATAAACGGCAATATATTTTATAAATGCCTACCTATACAGGGTGAGTTTCCTACGATGTTCTCTATGGGTATCTCGGAAACTACTGAGATAGAGAGTCGATTAAATGGGGAAAGAATTGCAGTTTTGTGGGGTCATAAATATGCGCCTTTGAGATTTTTGAAAAAGTTCATGGCTTACTAGATATTTCTAAAGAAAAAAATTTCGGCTATTTTAAACATTGTCCCTACTTCCATTATAATCTATTTTAGACAAAAAGTTTTCAGATAAAAGTTGTAGGTAATCACATCCCTAATGAGTTTGTGTCCTCCATTTTTTTTAGTTATAGCTAATTCTTATCATTTTAAACAATTTCACATAGTTAGCCATGGAAACAAGTCCAATCGTCGTTGCTCTCAGAAATGATCGATCACATAACCCTCTGCATAACCTATCCATTTTAGATTTTTTTATGCGGTATGGGGTATGCGGGATTTTTTTATGCGGTACGGTTAACAACAAGGTTTACAAAAGAACTTATGAATTAAGAGAGGCACTCGAAGAGGCGGTACGGAAGAAGTTTAATTAAGTCGACCGGTCGTCCTGTGAGACTAGCTATAGTAATTCAGTTTTAAAAAGATGCGTTTTTGTACTCAAAACAATGGCGGATTTTTTGAACGTTTTCTAAAATAACTTATAGCGTATGTCGTGATATTATTTTTTTCAGTTTTCCTTTGTGTAATGTAAATTCTAAAGAACCGTTTAATAATATATTCTGTCTTTTTATAAGTTATAAATTATAACAGAATAAGAATACCTTACCAACTAAGAGATTAAGTTTAATGTATGGCCAAGAAAAGTTAACCCAATAATCTTACACACTTTTCTTCATTTGAAAAATTCATATTTACAATTTTTGTTAATTTTAATTTACAAAGTTTGGATGTTACAGTTTCACATTTCTGAGAGCAACGACGATTGAACTTGTTTCCATGGCTAACTATGTGAAATTGTTTAAAAATGATAAGAATTGGCTATAACGCAGTATTTTTTCGAAAAAACATATTACAGCTAATATCGCCGAAAAGCTTAAAAAATGGCGCTTTTTATGAAGTCATGGCCAACTATGGTTTCCATTAAAAAAAACATATTTTTGTGTCATATGTCAAAAATGACAGGCTTTAGAAAAAATCGAAAAACACAAATTCATCAGGGATGTAATTATCTACAACTTTTATCTGAAAACTTTTTGTCTAAAATAGATTATAATGGAATTAAGGACAATTTTTAAAATAGCCAAAATTTCTTTTTTTCGAAATATCTAGTAAGCCATGAACTTTTTCAAAAATCTGAAAGGCGCATATTTATGGCTCCACAAAACTGCAATTCTTTCCCCATTTAACCGACTTTCTAACTCCAGTAGTTTCCGAGATACCCATAGAGAACATCGTAGGAAACTCACCCTGTATAGAAGCGGCAGAGAGTCCACGTCATGTCCACGTAGACTTGACGAATATGTCACCGCAAAACACTCCGCCCATTCATTTCATTGGCTACTTGCAAATTTGTTGATTTTTTATTAATGGGACGCGTCATCTATTTTTTTACGAGAAACATGGATTAAAGGATAGCAGACCGAGCTGGGAGAACACTGCAGTTGTTATTGGTAAAATAGTTGCGCGATTTTATTGATTTTTTATTGTTTTTTTTTCTTAATATTTTAATTTTTATAAAGATTATGTCTCATTTATGTAAAAAAATAAAACTGATTGTGTATTTTTTAAAAGAATAAGATTTATAAGAGAATATCGTTTCCCTCCTTCATATTTATTAGATCTTTTAGATCAAATAATTATGATCATTTCAATACCTAGATATTTCTTAAAATTTTATTAATATATTTCAAATATATAGTATAGTATTTTTAACTCATACTAATATTTGTATATAATATTTACCGTTATTTTTAATATAGAACTAAACATCCAGTAAAAAATAAAATGTGAGAGAATGTGCAAGCTCTGCACTGACATATTTCTCACATTCTATTTCGTAAGCGACAGTTTTTTCATTAACTGAAATAAACTCTATGTTCGCCTGTTTAATGCATTCTAATTTCGTACACCCTGTATATGAAACTATCTCGATTTCAGACTAGAAAAACGTAAATTTTTAGTAGCGTAACTATTTATTTAAAATATACCGTTGTTGATATAAAATTTGTGCTTCTGTTATTTAGTTTATTTTTGTACTCAAAAATGTACTTTATTAAAACGATTAATAGTTGAATATTATTTTGTTTTATTTTTCATTCGATTTATGAAAATGTTATTTGTAACAATAATTTTTGGGGTAAGTGTACTTTTTTCTGTTATGATATAAATTATTGTTTAATAATCGTGTTATAAATACTGTAAAAACGTAAGTATAATAAATAGAAAGAAATAATAAACATGAATGTTTATACCAAACGCATTCAAGGGCGGTTACCGATAGATCTTACAATAATTTTTATAAATAAAGCGGCAATTTTTTTATTCGTATTACCCGAGAAATCGTAGCATACTGTCATCTTTGACATTATTTTCAATTTTTACAACCGATTTTTAAAATATAGACGCACCAACAAAGTAAGTATTTTTTTAATGATAGGGTACTGTATAGTGAATAATAGCTATAGATTTAATTTGCTATTGTAATATATTTTAATATCCCACATTATCAGGAACCTGTTAAATTTCCTTTACTTTTTATTTTTAGCGGATGCTTTTATTATTATTCCTAATTGCACTACCATTGTTGTGCCTAATTACTGTATATTATTTTGTTTAATCAAGGCATGGAATACATGAAAACTGAAGAAAAGTCTCCGCTCCTTTTATACGTTACCGATGGCGAAGAGAGTCTCTCGAAAAACAACAAAAGATTGAACTGTGATAAAGGAAGATTATATGGCATATCCTCTGGTGCCACCACTGTGTTTACCGACTTCCCAAGTAAGTGTTTTTTTTCCTCTGAAGTGTATAATATTGTTATTAATAATTTCATACCTCTATAAACAGGCGGAAGCAATTACTTTTTTTTAAATAATTCTGTATTGGTCACCTTTAATTTTTTTATTATGCAATTTACTGAAATATGTCCGCGGATACACGATACACGTGTAGACTAAGGGCGGTTTTAGAGAAAAAATCTAGGGGGGGGGTAAATTTTAAATTAATATAAATAAACTGGGTTATATGTGCATGCCAATATAATATTTTTATTAATAATAAAACAATATAGAAATAATAGTAATACTATTCTTACTAGCATGTCATGTGGTGTAATAAATAATAATACTTTTGTGTACCGCAGTCAGTTTACTGACGTGAAATGTTGGTTTAGGTTTTTATTATTCTTCCTCCTATTTTTATTTGAAGTTCCTATGTTGTTTGGTAGGTATTTATTGAAATTTAAATATGTTATACTTTTTATTAAGTTCAAAAATGTAAGACTTTTTTATTCAAATCTAGTTAAGTTGGTTTATGTTGTTTGATGTGTATTTTAAGTTACTTATAGTATATTTTTTATTTGCTTGTCTTCATTTATTGTGTTCATGTTCACTTTCTTGAAAGCCATATTCTTTGCTTGCTGATTGACAGAATGCACCATCATTGAAAAAAAATAGCTAGTTCTGAAAGTATTCAGAAAATTGTGAAATTCCTGTTCCTTAGAGGGCTAGTATCGAAATTTTCGGTTCCAAAAAACAGCTCCAGTTCCGGAAACTCTAGTATACAGGGTGGCTCGAATTCGACGCTCATCATTGGGATTTCGGAAAACGTAAGAGATACAGGATCGGTTAAATGGAGGCAAAGTTGCGCAATTTGATGCTCAATAAAATGCCGTATTGCATTTTGAAAAATTCCGAATACTTCCGAATATATTCGAAAAAAAAAACGGAATTTTCAATTTTGTTTTCTATTGTTGCCTGGCTTTATTTGTTAAGATAACTTAAAATGAAAAACACATTTTTATGGCCACTTTTTCTGCTCTATATAACTCTGTGTGATTAAATATTGACTCTGACGTTTCAGCTTCTGGCGACCATCATCAACTTAATTTTTTTAAATACGGACCTGATTTTTTTTTCAGTTTAATTAAATCCTTTCATCACTCTTAAAACACTATATTAGTCACTTTAATATTTGCCGACGTTTCGTACAGAAAATTCCATCACCAGAATAAATATTTCATGCAAAAAAATATAAAATAAAAATAGAAATTTGCAATACGGCATTTTATTGAGCATCAAATTGCGCAACTTTGCCTCCATTTAACCGATCCTGTATCTCTTACGGCGTCGAATTCGAGCCACCCTGTACACATTAGCCAGAAAAATGCCTGTAAATTGATGATAATTTGTGCTCATCCTACATTGTTTTTTGTTCACATACATCTAGTGTTACTAAACAACAGTCAGGTGTAGTAAAATTGTCTACACTTGTTCAGAAAATATTGTAATAAAGAACACATCTCTTACATTTAGTTGCCAACTTTTAAACCAGATTAACAACATACTTCCTTCTTATAATTATATTGATGTTACAAAATAACAATCACTGATTGCCACTGTAGACAAACTAGCCCAATATTTGAAAATGCCAGACAAATTCACTATAGCTGATGCATATCCAATTACTGTAATATATAAATGTTCAGATACATAATCTTACAACCGAGTGTATACAATTTTTTGTTAAAAAGGGATAATTACAAACATTTCCAAAAATTACCAAAAGCATGACTATTAATATAATTTATTATCAAAAGAAATCACATCACAATTATCTAAAAGAATGCTTCATGAAAGCAATAATATAGATACAAAACTTGTTAGAACATAATTTGGCAAACCTTAAGATCTTCAACTTCTTTTATTAGTTGCCCTCATCAGAACTTTTAGCCTCAGTTTGATAAATATTTGGAACAGAATAAAGCAACGAACACAAGTAGTTATGTGATTTAACATCAAAATCTTTGTTTGAGAATATGGTGTAATCATCTGCATTTATCGATTTCCCTGCAGATATACCACGAACCTAGGATTAAATTATAAATTGCATTAACAAGAAATTAAAATATGTGTCCTTACTTACCTCCACCCAATGATCTGTTAAAGGAGTATTTATAGGTTCTTTAACATTAACTTTAACAGCTACATCATCAACAGACTTAATTTCAAAATTCATTCCATTAGGAGAGACTGATGTTACTTTACCCATCATACATACAGGTTTGTTAACGAAACGAACTAACTGGACACCATTGACAAAATCTCGAATATTATCCATTGTTACTAGTTTATTTATTTCTCAAATTATTGTCCCAGGTATTAATATAAAGATGTATCTTTAATAAATGGCTTTGTTTGAGGTTTGTTTTGAAAAAAAATAACATTTCCCGCCAGCTGTCAGTTAGTCAGTTTGTCATTTGTCATTCTCTTCTTTTTTATTTTTAGGCTAATAATCACCATATCTCTCAAGTCTATAATATTTTGGGTAAAGGTAGTCCGGTCTACTTAAATTAATTTATATAATTAAATATTCATCCTCATTTAAAATTTAAATGTTTTGTACCTATTATCATAGAAAAAAAATAAACTTAAGGACATATTTTTAATATTATAAATATTAGGTTTGTATAACTTCAAGAGCGTGGGAGTTAATAACTTCTCTTTAATTATAAATTAATTAGACATCCTGGGTGGGCTACACAGGGTGGCTTAATTAAAAATGCACTCTCCAACACCGATTCATTTAACAATAATTTACAATATATACGAAAAAAAGGCATCAGCGATCGCTATGAAATGAAAATCGCAGTCATTTTATATGTAAAATTATACGGTGAATGTCATCGATGTTCATTTCCATGCCAACTGGACGTCGTTTTTTTCTATCATACGGTATTTTCTATTTTTTTTTAAATTATTATATACATTAAGTATATAATTTTTTCAATGCCCAGATTTTTTTAACTTCATTATATCCCATTTTTAACTAAATCCTGTTCAACGTGTCAGAGAATAATTGTCATACCTCTATAAACAGGCGGAAGCAATTACTTTTTTAAAATTATTCTGTAAACCGCTTATTTTTTTATTATATGCAATTTTGAAATATGTTTATAGCTACAAGTGTAGATGTTAGCCAGAAAGCTGCCTCTAGAGCCGTGTTAATTTTTTATAAAATATTAGAAATAGTTAAAAATATTTATAAATGTAAGTGATTCAATTTATTTAAATTCCGATTTTATTTTCAAATTTCTTTTTAGATTATGTGAGTCCTTGTTGGTTAACGGCAATTTTATCAGGACTGATTTTTTTCATGATGTTTTTGCTGACCGTATCATCTATAGGATCAGTTCGTGGCTCTAGGTTACCAAGATGTGCCGGCAGGTAAAATGAAGCTTATAAAACTGATATATCTTCTTTTTTTTAAATTTAGTATTGCTGCACATATATTACTTTTTAAAAAGGTAATACTTATTAAAGAGGATGTGTGTAATTTCCTTCTAACTTTTATTGTTACAAAATGTTGGTAAATTCATTAATAATCTTCCCATATTAGGGGGCGTTTTACAGTTTAATAAACAAAAATATTAAGTAGTACACACAGGGAGGGTTATTAGTAGTATAGTTAAGTCGACACAAAATAGTCCCCCATACACCAGAAGATTTGGTTTGAGAATTTGATCTGCAGACTTGGGCCTGCGGGTAAAAAACTTTGAAAGGTCTTAAAACGAATAGTGAGGGATTTTTTTAATTCACCCCCGAGAAGGGGTAAATTACACAGGTCTGCGAAATAAACGTTTTTGAAAATTGTTTTTATTTTAATGGGTGATTTTTAACTATATAATTTGGGAAAAAATCAATTAAACAAAGTATTTAAAATAATTCTTATGGTTTTAGTTTTTATTTAACATTAAGGAGTACTATATTTTTTTACATTCATATAACGAAATACTAAAAAAAAATGGTGGGTGGTATTTGTCAATGACGTGCCGTGTTATACTCCACGCATATATATATATATATATATATATATATATATATATATATATATATATATATATATATATATATATATATATATATATATATATATATATATATATATATATATATATATATATATCTGTATATATATAAAAATAATGAAATAATATGTCTATTACTGACATATATAGTAATAAAAACATCTATGTAGTATAGTAATAAAAACGTCTATGTCTATTACTGACATATTATTTCATTTATAACAGAATGTTTATGTAAACTTTCAGTATGTAATCGAACCTTATCAAGTATATCAATCTGGGTGGTTTTGTAGCTTAAGGATTCCTTTAGAAGGCCTTGATAAGAAATTTTGCTAATTTTTGCGAGTTTGGCAGTTATAATTTTTTTTAATCGAATAAAAATGGTAGTGTTTTTCACTTTCAACACCCTGCATCTTTTGAACTTTTTTCCATAAAATGACCTGAAGAATCGACCTCGAGTATTGATATGTTATTGAGGGACACCCTGAATAAACTAATGTATATTATATAATTCAATCTTAATCTTGTCAATAAAAAAACGCTAGGTATGTATTAAAATTTGAAGCAATTTTTTATTTTCTCACGTTTTAAAAGGCGGAAGAATGCAAAAAAAAGAAAAATATTATTGGCCAGGTTTTGAGGTAAAATACCCCATTAGAATTAGAATAAGTGGGAGGGGGGTTAATCTCTGCGATCTTAGAGATCTATTGTGTCCCCCTTTCTTGAGTTATAACTAATCATACAGTCCCAGGACTTCCTACGGAGACCCGTGTCCCTCACAGTCGAGGAGCTACGACCCAGGCCGGGTAGACGAAACGGTAGCTTGTGTCGCCTGTTGGGTTTAGAGGTAGAAGGTAGGCTCCCGACCCTTGGAGGAGGTGGTAGCTTGTATACCACTTGCGGAGGATGGTCTCACGCAAGTGTCAGCCACCTCTCCTGTAGTTCTCTTTGGGTTTGGCCCCTTGGAACTTTCATTGTTACTGTTCCCAGTGTCGCTAGGGGGTTTCCCCACAGCTTCACCGGTGATGTTTTTATTACTATTATTACCAGATCTCATAGTGTTCCTATGAGTCGCTAGGGACAGTCGGTCCACTTCTACAGAGCCCCGCATGTAAAAGTAAGGGGTAAAATACAATTGGGTGCCCCCGGTGCCCCAAGGTTGAGGCTGTCCGTAGCCCCGCCCGGTATCGTTATATGTCTTGGTGCAATACCCTGGCCACGACACTACAGTCAGGGACAAGATGATGAGTGAGATGCTTCTTAGACCAAGCCAAGTGCTAGGGGGGATTCCCCCCAGCACCTGACCAGGATCTTCCCCACCAACGACAAGGTCTTGCATCTCTTAGGGGAAGAAAAATACACCATAGTGGATCGTCTCTTTTTAACATCCAGCAGTATATAATCTGCTATCATATTGACATTCCATCTTCCTTGATACCTTATTCTTTCCATTTCTTTGATGTCTTGATGAAATCTCTCTCCCTGTTCTTCACTGACATATCACCAAGATTTGAAGGAAAGTAGTCCAGATGTTGCAGTTTAATTTCTGAATCTGAATTGTCCAGCATTGTATCAATGATCCCTTGGTAGTTGAGGTCTTTTTGGTTTTCCAGAAAATTTATGACGACTTGTTTGAAGGATACCCATGCTGCTTTTTCTCTGGCATTCATTTGTTGCTCAAAGTTAGCATCCCTCATCAGTTTCCTGATGTCAGGTCCAGTACGCCTTCTTTTAGTTTCGCCTCGGATAAACCAGGAAACTGCCCACAAAGATATGTAAAACAATTTCCTTCTGTTGGTAATGCCTTCACGAATTGTTTCATTAATTCAAATTTAATGTGCAATGGCGGTAGTAACATCCCTTATTAGGATCTACAAGGCTCTCCCTAACAACATTTTTATATTCAGCCTGCAAATTTTTTCTCATTGCACATTCTTTTTTAACACAGTGTTGTTTTCGATCGCGACTATCCCACTCGCAAAGAAAGCAAGGAAACTTTGTGTAGCCACTTTATTGTCCAAACAATATTAAAATTGCTTTTAATTCGTCACATATTGCATATTATTACAGCTCTCCAGTGAAAAATAGAATGTTTATTGCAAAAGCAAAATTATTTTCTGTTTTTATTTAATTTTTTACAGTATTTATACATCAAATATAAAAATTATTTGGTAATATTTCTACCGTTCTTGAATTTTAAAAAGGGCTAATATATTTAAAAAATAAGCAAACTAGTCTATAGCGGCTATGCCATTTGTAAGAAAACTGTACGTGATGGATTTTTTTTACTATTTTTGCCGTAATCAACGCTAAAAATACTACAAAAATCACTGGTAATAGTTCAGACAATTTTTTCGTCGCAGACCTGTATTATTTTTTCAACATTTTTTAGGACTTCAACATTCTCGGTAAGGACTAAAAAAAGGTTCAAATAAAAGTTGTAGAGCGGTCAGTTTTACATAAGAAGTCCCTATCATTTTTCTGAAATTAAAAAAAAACACTTTATTTATACTTTTCACCCCTTCTTGGGGCGAATTTAAAAAAAATATTAATTGAAATTTATGATTTTTGAACAAATTGAATAAAAATGTTAAACATGAATTTTGCAGCAACTTATATATATTTTTTAAATTCATTCAACATCCCCTAGCTTCTATATAGCCACCCTATGTCGGTTAATTTTGACCTGAGCAAAAAAGTATGGAGATTATTTCTATGTAAACTTTGACGCTCCACAACTTTTATATGAACTATTTAAATTTAAAATGTAATATTTAAAACAGTAATAATTATTTCTTACCGTTTCTCCGAAATTTCGAAAAAATCATTTTATATATTTATTTCAACCCTTCTCGGGGGTGAATTTAAAAAAAATCTTTTACAATCCGTTTTTAGTTAGATCTTTCAAAGTCACTTGTATCAAAGATTCAAGTTTTTACCAAAACTTTGTATTTAAAGGCTTTTAAAGACAAACACATTTAAAGGCTGTATTTTCTTGCACTAAGAATATAGTTGTGCAAAGATCTAGAGGTGGCTACACACACTACTGCAAGCTTGACAAGCATGCATAATTTACCTTCGACGCCACAGGGTACATGCATGCTTGAACAAGCTTTAGTTTATGCCGCGAAAAAAAAAGAAGGAAGTCCGAAGAAAAAGAAGAAGGAAGTCCGCGAAAAAGAAGAAGGAATCCTGAAGGGATTTATCTTTTTAATAACGGCATCCTTATCGGCTTGGCTGTCAATTAATCTATACTTATTAAGTAAAATTTTGTACGCTGCATCCTTCTTCACCATATCATGATATTCTGGTGATTTAATTCGCCAAACACACGGCTGATTTTCGTATGCGAGAATAAAATCTTCCAATAATCCTCGATTGCTCGCTAGACATGATGGTGACCTCATCGCTAGACATGATGGTGACGCTACGTACAGGTCATTTACGATCATGGAATGAACTAATTGTTTGTACAAGCTGAATACATGTTACCACATGTATTTAGCTTGTATATATTCACACGTATCGTATCGCTTGCGCAAGCATGGCTTGTCCAAGCTTGCATGATTCAAATTCAATCAATCATCAAGTGGCTTGCACAATTAAAATGCTTGCGCAAATTTTCCCTACAGACGCTACAGTTTGCTTGTACAAAAAGATTGTTTATGCATGCTTGTCAAGCTTGCAGTAGTGTGTATAGCTACCTTAAAGTCCACGGGTCAAGATACGAGGGTTTTGGTACGTGATAGGTCAAGTCTACAGGCCGGGCCGGCAGGCCGGATCTTCTGCTGTATGGGGTGCCATTACATGGAAGAACTAATAATCGAGTTCCATATTATGAACAAAAAACATTCTTAATTACTTTCAATTATTGATTTACTTTTCAGCTACTTAGATCATATTGATAATCGTACTATTCATCTAGTTCACGATTCGTCCGATTGGAGTTACGAAAATCTCGATATTTTGCAGAGACTAAAAGACGAATATTCGGGATATCATGTGCATATTCTGAATTTGAAAAGAGAAAATGTCTGGGAAAAGTTAGTATTCATTTATTTTATAAGTTATTTGGTCAATATAAAGAGGCCGTGTTTATGGAAAACGAAATTTTTTCGCCAATTGTTAGTTTGTTCTAGATATCTGATAGTATTTAAAATAAGCCTCTGTTTAGAACTGCGCTTAACTTCTACTCTGATTAATATGACATTTCCTATTTTTTTTATCTCTATGTCTGTCAATTGTTTTGGCTTTACTTTTTGTTTGATATATTAACATGTAAGTATTTCACATATTCTTAGATAACATGAGGTTGTGATATACAGCATCCAAAATCACTTTTTTTTTCTAAAAATGACATCTATCTTTTACCAAATACGGGTACTTTTTGATTGACCCTTGTAATGATTCAGGAAAAATCTAACATACTTTTAGTGTTTTAAGTTCTTCTCATCCAACACCAACTACGCAAGACACTACAGTTACGAAAGCGTTGCCTTCAACACCGGTTTTGCGGAGAAGTAAACGAAATAAACGAAACTTGACAACATTGAAACGAAGAAAAAGGGATCAAGATGCAAATATTGCGCCTATCTTAGGTGTAAAAAGTTTACTGGACATATTGTTAAACAGTAGGATGGGAAACGTAAAAATGTTTAAACGAAATGATACTGGTGAGTTTGGAAGAAAGTAAATATTCATTCTTCAATCTCATTTTGATGTTTGATGCATCTGCATCAAATATGATAATAGTGAACCGATATTCTGATTTATTTGTACAGGGTGTTACAAACACATGTTCCATTTCTCGTGAGAAGATTCCTCACGTAATTTTTTATATCAATATACCGGGTGCGTCTCAAAAGTGTAGTGCATATATATAACTTTTTTATTTTTTCAGATAAAAAAACGGGATTTTCTATTGATTGACGTATTCAATTGTTTTTGGTCACTTCCTGTTTCACCGGAAATGACTACAACTTTTGATTTTTTAATGTGCACAGGGTATTTTTTACCTTATTCGATAGAAAATGACATTCTGAATAAAATGACATATCATATGTCAACTTTTTACATTCTCACTTAATAAAAAATTGTATTTTAAATTTCAATCTAGAGTGCCATGGCTATGTTAAAAACACTAATTCTTAATCAAGGAGCCTTGGAAAATTGATTTGATCGTCTAATGTTTTTAGTGTCTTGTCCTGGATGGTTAGAAAATGACCAAATCGTATTTTTAATGATATTTCAATTTTTTCAAATGGAACGAGGGTGGCTCATTAGCATATTTGGTAAAAGCATTTTTTTACGAATAAATTATTGATATCACACCCTTGTTATTTCGAGTCAAATTTTTGTTACGAACCGCAAGTTATAATTTCAAATAAACCATATGCGAAAATGTCATAATTTGACATATGATATGTCATTATATTCAAAGTGTTATTTTCTATCGAATAAAGTAAAAAAATACCAAGGGTGCCATTTAAAAATCAAAAGTTTTATTCATTTCCGGTGAAACAAGAAGTGACCGAAAACAATTGAATACGTCAATCAATACAAATTTATGTTATATAAACACATACCAAATCTCGATTTTTTAACTGAAAAAATAAAAAAGTTATAGGGGTGAGCCACTTATGAGACTCACCCGGTAGGTCCGATTCTGCTTGGTTTTGTAGATGTATACTATAAATAGTTTTCAATTTTTTTTTTATTTATTATATGTATATGAAATAGTATATGAAATTTGATGAAACCGTTTAATCAAAATTAATACGATTCGCTAAAAGCACTTGGAAGAAAATTATAACAAGTCGAAAGATTATTAAGATTTTAACACCCTGTAGCTACGAAACAAAGCAGAACCGGACTAATGTTGATTTAAAAAATAAATCTTATTTTTACGTGAGGAATCTCCCCACGCCGCGCCGCGAGAGATGGCTCATGTTTTTTGAAACATCCTGAATAATTTGGAAGTATAATATAGGGTGTCCCAGAAATAAGTGCAAATATTTTAACTGCAAGTGTAGTTCAACCCCAGAAACACGCCTATGAGGTTCTTTTCGCGAAAAAAATATTTTGAAAATTCGGAATATTTTGAAAAAAATTTTGGATTTTTTTTAGTTTTTAGTTAAAAAACATAATTTCTTGATTATATGGCAACATAGGTAGTAGGTTAAATTTACAAGAAAGAAAATCCAGAAAAGATCCAGTGGTTCTCAAAATTTTAGCAAAAATTATATTTTTTTGGGAATTTTTAAATAAAATAACTCTTTGGACTTATTTGAAAAACGATAAAGAGAAAATATGTTTCTTTTATCGAGATCTACCACCCCTTAAAATACTTGCACTTATTTATGGGACACCCTGTATAAATAAAGTTTGATTTATATTTTGATGTCCGTGTGATATATTTTTTAGTACCTAAAATTTCAACTTTGATGTCTACGGATATTTTTACAACTACACCAGAACCGCAACTGAGTTTTGAAGTTATCGCAGCGAACGATCCAAACTTGACAGTAGAAAATGTAACGGTGGAGGAAGCTTTTGAAAATACCTTATTGGAGAGACATTGGATTAGATATAATCCTGCCCTGATAGTTTTTTCACTACGGGTCTTAAGATTATGGGAGTTTGGAGGCCTCACTTTCAAACTAGACCAAACAGATGGAGTTTCTACTCATAGTGCTTTGGACAGCTATACAATAACATCAGGTAAATTTTTACTTAATATCTCTTTGTTTTCTACAATAACAGTAAAAAAGTGCATGTATAGATTGTAATCCTTACTAATATTATAAACGCGAAAGTTTGTATGTATGGATGTATGTTTGTTACTTTTTAACGCAAAAACTACTGAATGGGCTTTAATGAAACTTTACAATAATATATACCGTATGATCGAGAAAAAACGGCGTCAAGTTGGCTGTGTTATCCCGTGGTCTAAAAGGAATTTTTAAGAATGTCAATTATAAACTTGTGTATAGTGCTAATAATAAATTACAACAATTATTAGGTAATCCAAAGGATAAAACACCTCCACTGGAAAGGTCGGGTATTTATGAAATTTCTTGTAAAGATTGTAATCAGAAATATGTTGGGCAAACTAGAAGATCAATATTAACTAGATTTAAAGAATATTTAGCTCAGATAAGATATGGTAGACCGGATAAATCTTGCGTTGCCGAACATATTGTTGATAAAGAACATTGTATAGTGTTTTTATTTTGCTGTATGGCCGGTGTTAAGGATTACAGATTTTTGCATAAGTTGGTACTGGTATGGTTCTAAGTCTATTGCCCTAGAAATGTTCTAAGTCTATTGCCTGTCTAGTGTTTTTGGTATTACATCCATATTCGATAGTACTAATGGGATGACCCGGACTCGATCGTATTTCCACATATCCTTAATTTCAAAGCATAAATCAATATATTTGGTAACCTTCTCTCTGTATATGTTTGTGTTAGGTTATTGTTGTTTGTCACAGCAAAATCTATGAGCAACACTTCATTTTCTTTTCTCTTCTTCACTACTATGTCTGGTCTATTATCTGTTATTATAGTTCTGTCCCAGTACATTTCATATTCATTGTTTTCAAGGTTTGTAGCAGGTTCGTACTGATAATAGTTAACTTTATGCTCTATGAGTTTATACTTCAATGCTAGTTCTTGGTGTATGATTTTTCCCACTTGGTCGTGTTTAAATTTGTAGTCACTCTGTGCATGGTGCACGTGTCTAAATTTGTAGTCACGCTTGGCATCCTCCTATGACGTGATGTATTGTCTCACTTGCTTTCTTACACCTTCGGCATAAGTCAGACTCAATTCCGTCCTTTAAGATGTATTTTCGGTAGTTATTAGTCTTAATCACTTGATCTTGGATGGCTATAAAAAACCCTTCAGTTTCCGGTTGTAGCTCTCCACGTTTTAACCAATTGTACGACGCTTGTTTGTCGACAGTGTTGGTCTACGTTATGGAAACCTTCCGTGTAGAGCCTTTTCTTTCCAGCGGGTAAGCTTGTTTGAGTCTTCCACTATGGACCAGGTTTTTTCTTCGTCACTTATTATTAATGGGGTGTGTTTATCTGCTTTTAGAATAGCCCCATAGTATTGAGATTCTGCTTGCTTTGAATAGAAGTATTTCCTTAGGTTTATTATACTATTATTGAGCAGGTTAGATAGATCTATAAGTCCCCTACTACCATCTTTCCGTTTGAGTGTAGTTCTTTCTACTGCCGTTTTTGGATGGTGGCATCTATGTTTCGTCATGGCGACATTTTGTTTTTGTTTATTATTATTATTATAATTTATATAGACAAAAAGATTAATACCAGGAGAGTAATAAAATAACACACGGTTCGGTATTTGTGAACTATTCTGTTTTGCGAATTTTCAAGGGACTTCCGTAATGTTAAAAACGTATTGTAATGTAATAGATAGGTATTGGCAGTTTTTTTTGTGGTTAAGAATTACACGTATTACTCGTAAGGAGATACTTCATGTAGAATACATTCGAAATTTATGCGGACGCAGTGGCGGGAAAAAAACTAGTATTTCATATTTTTCTTGTGGTGGTTTCAACAACAGCTTATTTATACCCAGGTTGTCGATTTACCATGACTTGCATGACAATCAGCGTACCTGGCCGGATATTCGTTTATCTTATGTAATGTCACAAGTCGGGTGGTAAGAATTCATTGAAACTTTGTTTAAAAATACAATTGAGACTGGCGCTCCGACTGCTGGCACGTGTACGAGAAGACACGCAGCAGTTGAAACGGCGTATATTCAAAAACAAGCAAGGATGACCGGCTGGTAGTAAATAAGCTGTGATTTCAACTTAGTTAGGATACAAGTCTTTGACAGGCGAAATAAGAAAATTGACAGAAAAATCAATTTACTTTTGAATTAAAATGATAGACACTGTCATGCATTCTCTCGTTAGACAGACTCTGATAAGATAACAAATTTAATAAAGAATACATTATTTATTCAAGTTATAGATATCTCTTTTGATCAGGATGATTAGAAATAAAGTTTCGATATTTTCAACAAACGTCAATCTACTTGACACGAAAAATAAACCGTCTTCATATTAAATATGCACGAACTGAAAAAAAAGTCTAATCTGGATTTTTCGGGAAAATCTGCATGAAATATAATACAGCTAATCAATTTTGATTGAAATGTTTGGTGCGTAATCGATAGGAATGGTATATAATTTCTGGTATTATTATATAAATTTTTAAATTTTGTTATACCAGCTATACATAATATACAGGGTCGCTGATATGTATGGGAACGGTCGACTATTAGGTAAAATATACGAGGTACTGCAAAAAGTTAAATATAAAAGTTATAGGGTTTTTAAATATCTATTAGCGGGTAATAAATTTAAGTATACAGGGTCGGTCATAAAGTCGTGACACTTCAAAGTTTCATTATTCTAAATGGAACCCCCTGTATATTATTGCATATTTCGGTTCTTCCTTAAATTCTAAACAAAAATCGAGATACACACAATGTACCTCAAACCAACCGTTTCCGAGTTATTGCCTTTTGAAAATATCACTTAAAAAACTCAATTTAATTCATTTCGATGTCTTTGGTTTCATTTAACGATGCCATTCTGCGGAAACTATGATACTTAATAATATTTGACATTAATTTTCAAGTTAGCATTTATAGATGTATAAAATGAGATTATTTCAAGTCTGGAAACTACAAAATTTTGGTTTAATATTTCAAAATCAAAACTTATATATAATAATTCGGAAATTGTTGAATTTAGGTACATTATTATGTGTATTACGATTTTGTACCTATTTGTTAAATAATATAAATAAATAAATTCATAAATCAATTGATTGCGATGCTTTTTTTCATTATTATTATAATTGTTGTTACAGATATTGGCGTAAAAGTGTTGCCAGCTTCCACCACTAAATTATTGCATTTTATCAAATCCGGAAGGTCGGTATTCGAGAACTTACCACAAGATGTCGTGACAGCAGACGACGAGGGAATTCACATGTTCACCAAGACACCTTGCCACGCTTTCTTCGGCGAGGTGCTCTTCGTCTTGAAGAAAGCACGTGGTGACGAAACAGTAAAGACTGTCATTCAAAGATCACTGGAGATCTTCTGTCTCAAATCTTCAATGATGGCCAGAAAATATTGTAAAAATTTTATCAAAAAAGGCGGATAACTGGATTTATTTTAATAATATATTTTTTAGTTTTTGTTTTTAGACATTTTTTTATTAATAAATATTTAATTTATATTTATTGACTATTATTTTTTAATATTGGTATTCAAAAGCTTGGAATTCTTTTATGAAAAATGTTTTGATAAAAGAAGAAATCATGTTATTCAATTATATTCATAGATAAAAGAAAATAATCTTCTATTATTAAATTCGAAAATCATTGTTGTCACTGTCATTGTTGACATGATAGTGATATTTGGATGTAGTCTGTCGAAATCTTCTCTGGCTCGTTTGACAAATTTAGTAGCCAGTAGGTACAATAGGTAAACTTGATTTTCATGCGTCCGTTATCCGTTGATACGACGGTCTCGCGGCGCACTGATTGGTTGATTTTCGCGCCACTTTTCATCCGTAATTTTTTTACTCCACTCAGATAACGGACGTTTTGACACTTTTTTGGTAAATTTTTCTAAGCTTAATAAATATAATAGTACAAGGGATAAGCGTCGGGAAACAAGAATTTTAAGAAAGCTGTTTTTTTTAATATATATCTTTTGTTATGCTCTCCTGACCAAAGTGTTTTTGGTCGTCTGGCTACCATTAGACTACTACGGTTTACTACTGCGCATCACATCTGTACAGGGTATCCCATTTTCGTGCGTTTTATGGGATTTCTCGTTTATGAGTATAGATACAATGATGCGATTTTCACATTACTTTGCTATTTTTTATGAAAGTAAATATGCTTCATATATGTTTGTCCTAGCCTCTTTAGTTCCCGAAATACAGGGCGAATGTGTGATGCGCAGTAGTGAACAGATGTTGAATACAGATATGATGTGCAGTAGTGAACGCAAAGTCTACCGGCAGCCAGACGATCCGCACTTTGTTCAGGAGAGTAAAACAAAACATATATTAAAGAACCAGCTTTCTTAAAATTATGTCTCTTAGACTATAAGTAAAACAACGGAATCGTTATGGAAATGAAAATATAAAATGATACAAATCACTAGCAAATCGTACATCCGATGAACGGAGGCATAAAAATGCAATAAATTTTAAAAACTGCGTAATTTTCTAACCAATTGAAGTCTTTAAATTCAACCGTTCAACCAATAAAATTAATATCTTATCGTCGGACAACGGATGCATGAAAATCAAGCTTATTAGTGGTATAATAAATTAGTGGTTTCAGTTATACTTTATAATTTTTAGTTTACGATCATGCATCATTAATAGAATATCCTAGCAACAGTGTGCAGTATGCAGTAGTCAGTTGCAGAGAGAACACTAATAACTAAAGTGAGAGAGACCGATCAACGTTAATTTTTGAAGACTGTGTTAGTGGCGCGGCCTTTGGCGTCTAACCCGAACTATGAGCGCATTATCGATATAGTAGGTTGCATTCATGCCTATATACTGGCGCCAAAAATTTAAAATTTGTATATTTGAACCGAATCATAACCTTTCAAGTTTATAATAAGAAATCTTCGTAGTTTTTTTAGATTCTTTTGTTGACAACGAAAATTTATTATTAGACTTTAAAGCATTAAAACCTATAAATAAAATACTGTGTAGGAACATAATAATTTATTTAACTCCATACTCCTCGCCATACTCCAACTCAAGACTGCAATCTTCAGTATCTTTTTTATCTAACTTGATTGGGAGTGAACAGGGAAGCACGGTTGGGAGCTCGCATAGAGTATCAGTAGGTATCCCGTAGGTATTCAATGTTTTTGATAGTCTTTATTCTATAACAAGAACCTAGCAGTTAAAGAAAATAATTTGTATTACTGGAAATAATACCAGGTATAATACCTAGTCGTTCCATAGGTATCAGAAAAGAATGTGATGTTTTAAATTAAAAAAAAATAAATTAGCAATGTACGATTATTATGTGCACTCACTATTACTATTAGCCTCGTATATATAAACAAGGCTATTAGGTATGTTAAAATAATTACCGAGATAAAACTTACCTTTAAAGGAAAGCCTGGGTCTTTGTCTGGGTCTCAACCACAAAACAAAAATTACAAAAATGCCGAATAATCGTGGAATCTGAAATAATCAATAATGACAATAATCTTCTCTTCTAACAAGCTAAAAGAACAGGCACGTTCAGTCAAAAACAATTTATAACTCCGATTTGCTCCGATTATCAACAGATTTTAGTTATCTCCTTCTAGAACTAAGAAATAGAAAAAGCTACTGGCAATCTAATTAATCCTGTCAAATGTTTAACTTGCAAAGTTGAAAACTTCCTTTTTTGACCACCTAAACGCTATGCGCGTCTGGGATGCGCGGTGACAAAATAAACTTGTCTACGAAATGCACTATTCCACAGGCCCTCTCACTTTAGTTATTAGTTTCTCTGGTCAGTTGTATTCAAGTATCCATAGAGAAAGCCTAATAATAATTAGCTTAGAAAACCATAAACTAATAATTTCTAATCACAATTTTTTTTTGACGGATGATAATCAAAGGCCAAAATGATATTAACCGTAACCTTTGAAGTAAAATTTGTGGTAAGGAGTTTGTTAACTTTTTCTACTAATTAAAAATTACTACCATTTTTTGACGTTATGAGTGCATACATTGAAATTAGAGGAACAAACTTCTACGCTAATCGAAATCAAAACCACTAATTTTACTTTATATTGAGATATCAAAAGTGCATCCATATAAAAACTGACTCTGTTTATTAATAGATTTTATGGTATAAAATTTAACAGGCATAAACTGCATGTTTAAGATCAAGCGCATCTCTGGCTCGTCTTTTATTAAAAATGACACAGCCGTTTCTATTTCGCATTTAGTTTTGCATAGTTCCAGATGCACCTGTTGCCTAACATATTGCGAGTTCATTGGCGTCCCCAGTATCCATAGGTGAGAAAATACTAATATCTATAAATACAAATTATAGTTTTGTAGAATTGATTAATCACCGCGACCTTACAGATCTATTGTATATTCCTTTTTTGAGTTATAATTCATCATACAGTCCCTGGACTTTTACAAAAGCCAGTATCTGAGACGGTTTTATATAGGATATTTTCTGTGGTAGGTCTCCATCTCCGATATTAGTCGTACCAAAGTTTATGGCAAGAATGATTATTGTCTCGGCGCACTCAGTGATGAGGTGTTCTGGTGTTGCCCCATTTTCCCCACAGAATCTGCATTAGCCGTTATTGTTTCTTAGCTTCAATCTACTGAGGTGTTCGTTGAGGAGAGAGTATCCTGTTAAAAACTTAAGGACAATCCGAAGATTGATCTTAGTTAAATCAAAAGGAAAATCTTTGATTTTTTCTCGGTAGCAAGTTCTGAGAAATTTCTTCGAGTGTCATAAAACCGTTGGAAGATTCCCATTCCAGGTTACGGATGGAGTCTTCTAGGTTCTGGAGCTCAGGTCATATAGTTTCCACTTGGGAAGCCGAAAGTCTCCGGTCCATTTAGTGGAGTGTTAGCTCCATTTCTAGGTAGATCGTTTGCTTTTTCATTACTCTTGATACTTTGGCCAGGTGGCACCCGGAGAATGAGGATTTCTTCTCTAGGCATTCTTTGACCATCTTCGAATTGATGGTTCCTGAGGTGACCGCTTTTGATTGCTTGAATCGAATAAGATGGATAAGATCTATCACCGTGTATAATTTCTCTATATTTGGGTGAACCGTTTTTGAATTATTTTGGTTTAATCAAAGCAATTGTTATCACACAAAACATAGAGAGTATTATTTATATATTATGCGTTTTCATAGTAGCAGTTGCACTGATTAACTTGAAAGCAAGTATTGCGTCCGTGAATCTGTTCATTCCAGTGGGTTTCAAAAACTAAACTAGATATTTTAGTTTTTAAAAAAAGTAAAGTATTCTATGTTAACGTTAATGAGGGTATAGATCTACCCTCTATAGTTAACATCTCCTTTTAGCTGCAAAGACTAATCTGGACTCCTACTTTTTGTTTACGCGGAATCCGAATCGCGGTCCTTCGCCATAACATTTTCAATGGCCTACTTACTTGGTGAGTATCACAGACCAACAACATTTAGATTGGCAACTCTCGTCATTTATCGAGAACGCGTTTTACAGCGCTCGGTGACTTGAAGACGTACTAAATCTTCATTTTTCCCGCCAGATGCTGGGAATTTAAAATTTGAAATTGAATTGCATTATTGCTTTTTTACCAAACGTGAAAGAATTAATACTGTTTTTTTTAGTTTTCTGTAAAATATAACTTTTATTTTACAGAAAACTAAAAAAACAGTATTAATTCTTTCACGTTTAGAAAAAAGCAATATGTATATAATATTTCTAATAAGACTGATACGGAACAATAATACAAAAACCAATATGAAACACTAAAATTTTATTAAAAATCATCAAATAATACTATAATATTATCCATTCAACATTTGAATAAAAAATAATTCGTTGTATAGAGTTAGTACCTTACGTTATATACATACACATTATACAGACATTTTACATTATAATATAAACAATATTTATCAACAAAAGCAATAAAAACATTAAACTTTATAAAGGGACTTGCTTAATTTTATTTAAGGCTTTTATGTTTTACTTTATTTTTTTTAAATACTTCAAATGCAAGTTTTAGAGGATCTCCTGGACTTGCATAACCCTAAAAAAATACTACATATACGAATTTTTAAACGGGTCAAAAACATAAGTACACTTACCTCTTTATCCATTGGCATACTATTCAAAATCGACGATCTACCAGAGGATTTACAGCCCAACACACAGCAATATAACACCATTTTTAAAAAGTCAACACAATAACACTTCGTAACAATTACAAAAATTTAGATCGAACCACGACCAAACCCAAAAAACGCCGGGGATAGACTGAAAAAATTTAAAATTCAGCCGGTCGCCCGTCTTTTGAGCAGGTACCAATCATAAAACAGAAAAATTCTTATTGGCTGTCGCTTTCCCCCACCAGGCGACACTAGCGCACGGTGTCTTGAAGTCGTACTAATTTCGTGGTTTGACGTTTCGCGAAGAGGGCGCAGGGCCTGGTGAGTATCTAAATCTACTCTTAGAACGCTTGCACACACATCGGCAAAATCGGTGCCGTAGTACCACAGTACCGGCAAAATCGTTTCGACATAGTTAGTCCGTTGTCGTTGATTTGGTATTTGTAGAACAGTGCTAAAGTTCTAAACTTGACTGATATTACCATAGTTACGGCTTTACTCTATGGTTACGGCAATAAAAGGGATGCAAATACAGAAAAAATCCGGCGGCTCTCAACATTTTTTCAAAAAAATCATTTTTTTTTTATTTTTAAACTTAAATAACTGGGTTATTCAGGACTTATCTGAAAAATGGTAAAGAGAAAATATGTTTCTTTTATCGAGAACTACCAGCCCTGAAAATATTTGCACTTATTTAAGACTCACCCTGTATAGTTTTTAGTTTACATACCTCTTCCAGATATTTATTTTATATCAAATTTGTTTTTCGGATCAACGTTTCTTGCTACTCGTAAATTCTGATATGAGTAATTTTATTTTGGTACTACATATTAGTTATAAGAATTAATCCAATAAAACCCGCATAACGGATTTTCCACTTTTCCTCTGATATCCAAGAATAACGTAAATACAAGTTCACTTTCTTTAATGTAAAAATTATCAAAACTAATGATGTTTTCTAAACAGAACCCAAAAAAAATCTCTATACACTCATTAATCAGCTTGAAGTTGTTTGAAATAAAAAAATTAAGATATTTTTCATTATTATTATGAGCACAATTTATGATGTATCGTGTAATATCAACCAGTACCGAGAATTTTGCGCTTTTTCCAGAAATTTAATTTAAACCAACTCGTATACAGGTTTTTTTAACGCGTTTCAAGTTCTGGGTGGACGTACGGCACTGGATTTCTCCCACAGCATGCTCCTTTTATTGTAGTGGGAAAGTAAACATTAGCGAATTTGAATAAAAGATTTTTCATCCAGATTTTCGCTTTGTGGAACATACTATCGTGCCGCATTGTTGAAAAGTGTTGTGAGAGTTGTCGCGAGCTATTGTTGAGTTAAAAAAGACACTAAACAGTTAATTACATTCTTAGTTTTCGTACAAGTTCATTATAATGAGTTGTCGGCATAGAAGGAAGGTAAAAAATGTTTGAGATAAAAATTTCTAGACATATAATTAATATTACAATAATGCAATTTTATGTATTATATTATGAATACTTGGTTTTATGTAAGAATTAGATATTTTTATCATTTTAATGATTGTCGTAGGTTTTATCCCACATTAAATGTAATTGCCAGTATGCGCTGAATAGTTTGAATTTCTATTTTCTAAAGCTAAATATAATGTTAGGTGACAAATTGAATTATTACACACTCACCGGCACGAAAAACGGGCACCTTAAAATTTTCATGTATTTTAAAGTTTTATATATTGTGTTTTAGTAGACTGATTTTGATGATTTTTGAAGTAATTTTTAGCTAAATTATTTGAATTTTTAACATCTCTTTCTGAATTAAAAATAAAAATTTCAAAAAAGGTTGATATTTTGGTGTAAGTTTGAAACACCCTGTGAAATAGGTTAACAAAGCAAGGAATTTAAAAAATATTTTATCATCTAGTTGTATCTTTTCTCGATAGCTTGTTTTTTGTTTTTTTAGGACTTTATTTTCTTTGCCTAATTTGTTTGTATAATTATCATATTTCTGTGGCATACTTACTTATGCAAATTGATGTTCTATTTGAATGAGCTATCTTTAAGGGATTTTGTCAAACTTTGCAATGTTATCATCAAATGGGAATCAATATGGGACATGTAAGGAAGTTACTTGATAACATATCAACTTTATTAATACTTGCAAGGAGAACAAATGTTTGTATTGAAGTGAAATTTTGTTAGCTATGTAAGTCAATTTAGAGCGAGAGAGATTTTCTAGAATTATGTAGGATTCTACAGGGAGTCCCCATAAAAAGTTACACATCAAAGTTGTGTTTTTTGTAATGGAACACCCTATATATTAATTGATTTTCGGATTCTAGTAAAAAAATAAGGGAGAGTTTCATTAGATAAGTATATGACTAAAATGTATAGTTTTTGAAATACATTCACCGGCATGAAAAATGGGCACTTTAAAACTTTGATATATTTTAAAGGTTAATATATTTTGTTCTAGTGGGCCGATTTTGATGATTTTTTAAGCAGTATGTAGCCAAATTAGTTGACTTTTTAGTAACTCTTTCTAAATTAAAAATGAAACTCCCCATCTGTTAATTGCGGTTTCTTAGCGATAAACTTACAATAAGTCGATCGTCTCGATTAGAAGTTCTCATACGAAGGTTCCTGGATGTCTAGAATGACGTCCTTATGGACGTGGTCATAATTCAAAAACCACTCAGTATAATCTATGGTATTAAGGTATTTTTGGACCCGGAATTTTATAGCAAATTCACTGAACTAAACAAATATAAAGCATTTCATTTGAAAAACTAAAACTTAAGTATAAAAATATATTTGACTTACTATATCCATAAAAATATTTTTGAAATATGAACTACCACTATATACATATTTTGTAAAAGGTTTGGAGAGAAACTCTCAAATAGGAATCCTGATACAGAGCTTTTCCGGAATACGGAGCCATCTTGTATGTATGCATTTGTATATGTGTGTTTATTTAAATACTAAAATGAAAGCAACGAATTTAAATGGGTAAACTTTGTAGTATATCTTATTAACAATACAATGCAAAAAGTTTTATAAAAATTCGTGCACAGTAAATGAATTCCGAGGTTTGTATCCCATAAGGGCTTAAAGCATTCCACTACTAGCTTTATCACAATTTATGAATTTATATAAACTGTGGTTGATATAATTCTATTCTGCTAGCAGGATCTACGGCAGGTTTAGTACCTACCACAACTTACCAGATGTTAGGCAATATCCTTATTAATTTTTCATCACAATATGCAAAAATTAATCCATGTATCAGTTATCACAAGGAAATTTGGATAGGATTTAACAGCACATAAATAAAAAAGTTCAGTTTACTCTACTACTGACTGTTTGTTTTAGTCTATTTGAACGATACATTATGGTTATAAACAAATTAAAAAAATGTCTTAAAGTGTTGCTAATATTATCTTAAATTCTTTCTTGATTTCTTGATCTATCTTACTTACAGTAGGTGAAGTAAAAGAGTAGGTACTTTAAGTAAATACATATCTATTGTTATGAGCAATTTGATGTTTCCTTGAATTTTATTCACGGCTTAACTTACCTGTTTCGCATGACCTATATTTAAGATTTATTTTTATTTAGACTTTCCTAAATGAGAACATTAAGTTTTCAGAGAATACGTGTATATACAGTATCAAAAATATTGGAGTTTATTAAAAAAATATTGCATTAGGTGAATATATCATACTCAGCTCTCATAGAGCTTCTAGAAATTGTTTGTGAGATACACACTACATACATCTTTTTAATACCGTATGATAGAAAAAAACGGCATTAGCGATGGCTATGAAACCAAGATCGCTGTCATTTAATATGTAAATTTATATGGGAAATGTCATCAATCGTCATTTTCCAGTCAACTGGACGCCGCTTTTTTTTTCGATCATACGGAATAAGTAATCTCAATACTCAGTTAAATATATCACAGTAAGACAAAACCGATATATTCTTTTTGTTTTTACCTAGGCTATTTAGTCTATTTTAATATTATATTTTACTTTTTTTTTCATTTTCATTACAGAAGAGTGGTTCTTCAAGAAGCAGTAAATCAGAATCAGGAAACAGCAGCAGTTTTTTGGAAGACATCATTGAAGATCATTTTATTGGTCCTAAATACGATGTTAAAATATCGAAAGTTATGGGCAGGTATGTATAGTGTACAATTTAATACAGTTTAGGCTTTAAAAGTTATTTCAAAGTTATACCAATATAGTTTCGCGAAAGATACGATTTTGACACGGTATCAATAAATGATAAATAAATAAATAAATAAATAACAATTGATAGTTTGTTCTAACATTGCCATGCTAGAGCCGTTCGGTATACAAGGAAGGTAGGTAATGTGGCTAGCACTACGCTTCAACCGCCTATTATTACCTCAGGATTGTGAATCCCAAGTACTCATTTAAATCTGAGTCGACCTATTGACTGAAACTATTTTTATTTAAATAAAAATAGTCGGCTGATGAAATACCGGGTGTAGGATTCGAACCCACTACCTTGAGATTGGTAGACGAGAGCCTGTACCTCTACGCCACCGGGCACCATAAATTATACAATCATAAGTCATTACAAACAATATTAGCACTCAAAATGAAATTGATTATTATTATCATTACAAACAATATTTTTTTTGGAAATTTTCAAAGTATAATAACTCGTTTTTTTTGGACTTGTTTTTCAAATAACCCTGAAAAACGGTAAAGAGAAAATATGTTTCTTTTATCGAGATCTATCAGCCCTGAAAATGTTTGCACTTCTTTAATAAGACTCACCCTGTATATGTAAAAAGCGATAATACAAAAAATAATCGATTAAAAATTTGCCAACTTAATGTTGCAAAGATATTTTTCGTTTTTAAAACTCGCACAAGAATAGATCCATATGTCAAAATCTATGTTTAGAAAATAAAAAAGTGGTGTTAGAAAAATCATAAAATATTCTAGGAATTTTTATTACATATACATACACATCATATTTTATAAAGATATTTATAAATAAGAGAAAATGTAAAAATTAAATTCGGTAATAAATTTTTAAAATACTGTTATAATTGATCAGTATTTAAATAAACTTCTTTTAAACAATGTGATATTTTAGATTACTTATTCATACTTTTTTAATATCAACAGCTGTGATCTTGAAGATAGAAAATCTACAATTCAATGAAATATTTATGTTGTAAGATGAATACTGAGTCAAAATGTAATAAATAATTTAATATTGATTCAATCTCATACTCCTTATTCAATTGATACTCTTCAGTATACTCAATCGTCAAAGAACTTTGGTTGATAAGTTCTTTCCAGGCTAATCTGTCTTCAGCTCGATGGATAACTGAGTATAAGGGTAGACTTGTTGTTTGTCTGTGGCTTGATCGCTCTAATCTTGTTAGGTGGTCCACCTTTACATCTTTTTCTTTGGACATCACCGCAGTTATAATTATTACATATTTCCATGTTGGTAGTAGGTCCTCGAGTAATGTGTTTTATAGAGGTTAGTTCTCCATCTCCGATATCAGTCGTACCCCATACAGCACATCAAATCACATTTACGATGTGTTTACACTATTAGATGTAGATACAGGGTGACACAATTCCCCCGATGTAAATATGCAATGTTTACACATTGCAGTTCAACACGTATGCACAAAGGTTAAACGTCCGCCTCACACAATGTAGCCACAGTATAGCATTTACGTATACACAAAGTAAGGGATACACAGTGTGCCGTAGGATACACAGTGCTTGTGTATTAAGTTTAAACTATGTTTACACATTGCAGATGTGACTACCGCGTGTATACGTATGTATTTTGCTTTGTATATACATCTTGTGCTAGATAAAACTACTTCTTATGAACGAATTTAGGAAATAATACAAGTTTTGATGCCTAACTTTTCGTTCTTTTTAAGAAATATTTATTCAATGATACCAATTATATCTTTTTAGAACGAAAATTAGGAAGGCAAAACTTTGTATTTTCCAAAAGTATCTCGATCGTAAGTTCAAGAGAAGTAGCCTTAAAATTGTTCCATTTTTGTTTTGTATTAAATGTACCATTTTTCTTTGTTGTCTTTCCTGATTAATAATTAATAATAAATATAATTATAATAAAATTCTTATATTTCTTTATATCATGGAACGCAATAGCGCAAATAACACAATAATAATTATTATTTTAGCAGGTTTCCGATCAGGTTACGGAACAAATGACCATCTTCTAACAGTCCAGGTACTTATCGAGAAATGCATTGAGTATAATAGACCACTAATGCTTGTCTTCGTGGATTTCGAGAAGGCCTTCGATTCGGTAGACCAGTGGAAGCTTCTAGAGACACTAAGTGAGAGTCGCATCGATCATCGATACTCCTCGATCATAAGACATATATATGATAATGCCACGGCAAACGTCAGAATATCGACAAATCAATGCACAGATAAATTCAATATCGATCGAGGGGTAAGACAAGGCGACACACTGTCCCCTAAACTATTCGTTGCTGTGCTAGAAAGTATGTTAAAAATGATAAACTGGGATTCAACAGGAATTAACATCGATGGCAAATTGATAAATCATCTCTGTTTTGCAGATGACATTATTTTAATAACAGACAACATACAGGAGGCACAGAATATGCTGGATATGCTGAATGATGCTTCGGAAAAAGTCGGTTTGAAAATTAACTTGTCAAAGACACAATACATGACAAACCTAAGTGGAAATTTAAACATTAATAACATACCTTTGGAACAAGTGCATATATATATATATATATATATATATATATATATATATATATATATATATATATATATATATATATATATATATATATATATAAATACTTAGGGCATGAGATCGGTATTAGAAGGGATAATCAGACCCACGAAATTCTACGAAGAATAGGTTTGTCGTGGGCGGCATTTGGCAAACTAAGGCATATACTGAGATCTGATATTCCCATATGTTTAAGAAGAAAGATCTTTAACCAGTGTGTCTTGCCTGTCCTCACGTATGGAGCTGAAACGCTTACTTTGACAAAAAAGAACATACATAGAATACAGGTCATGCAACGGAAAATGGAAAGGTCCATGTTGGGAGTTACACTCAGAGATAAAATACCCAATCATACAGTACGAAATCGAACAGGAGTAAGAGATGCGGTGATATCTGTCTTACATCTTAAATGGAATTGGGCAGGACATGTGGCTAGGATGACAGATGGACGGTGGACAAAGAGACTTGTGGAATGGAGACCGAGACACGAGCCCTATAGAAGCAGAGGACGACCTCCTAGTCGATGGACAGATGACATTAAGAGGGTGGCTGGAAACTGGATTCAAGTGGCACAAAATAGAAAGAAATGGCTAGAGTTAAGGGAGGCTTTTGTTCAGCAGTGGACGGTAAAAGCTAAATGATGAATTATTATTTAACCAGAAGTAAGAAAACACTGCAAAAGAACAGAATTTGTATCAAAATGTATTAAAAATATAAGTACCTAGTATAACAACATACTAAAATTGTAAACACTGGTATATCGCCACGATTTGGTGGACCTCGTTTAATCATTTTTTTCTCCTCTTTTCCCTCCAAGCAGTTGGTTTGTTAGCATACTCATTCAACGAGCACTCTGTTGGACTTTGTTGTATTTTATTTCCAGATTAACAATCTCACCCTTAAATTTTATATGAAACTGATTATTGAATATTAAACATATCTGTATATTGATCCATCAATAACTTACCGAATATCAGTGTAAGAAGTTCTTTGAAGTGTTTAAATCTTTCTTTCTCTGGTCCATTTAGATTTTTATTATTTCCAAATTAAAAAAAATTATATTGCAGAGCTAACCTCATTATCGTTATACGAGAATATTTGGAGTTTTCATTCATTGGAGTCAAAATTTGGTAAATTAGGTATCGAATATGGAAAGAGTCGCTGCTATAATATTAATAATACTCTTAGGAAGGTGTAACAAGGTAATTAAAAACTTGTGCTTACCTTAAAATCTCTTTTAAACTACACACAAACAGAACATTTATATAGAGCTTCCGAATGATAAAACAATAATGGCTGCTAACAAATACCACTCCTAGGAAGGAGAAAGGAGAGAGAACATATAAGATACACTTAGTCGGTGTGTCTACGCTGAGGCTATCCGCGCGTGCGCATACCTTCATTTCATGCTAGAATGTAGACACAACAGTACACTATTACAAAGTGTCTATTCAGATATTTATATTATGTATATACGTCACATTTTTACAAGGTGTGTACTATAGGCACAACTATGATACGAAGTATCACACATACATATGACTTATACATTGTATGTCTCATGTACCGTACGTCAGATTTCATCATTTTAATAATTATTTGTTACGTTACAAAAAACTCTTTAGAATCTTGAGTGCATACGGTATACAACTAGTAAACACTGTATCACACAATTCTATCAATATAAACCTGCGTGTATCTCATATGTGTATGCCTTGTTTATACAAGGGTATATGTTAGAACTAGATGAACACTTAGGTTCACTTTAACATATTTTGTTTCTCATGTGTCTCCCTTATAGAAACGTAATTTTATTTGGACGTGCTGTATGGGACCTAAGTTTATAGCACGAATGGTTGTCGTCTCGGGGTACTCAGTAATGAGGTGTTTTGGTGTTTCCTCATGTTCCCCAGAGAATCTGCATTCGCCGTTGTTTCTTAGCTTCAATCTACTGAGATGTTCATTAAGGAGACAGTGTCCTGTAAAAAATCCCATGACAATCCGAAGATTGTTCTTACTTAAATGAAGGAGAATCTTTTATTTTTTTTAGTCATAAGTCCTGAAAAAACTTCTTGCAGTTGGTCTAGTTAGTGGAGTGTTCGCCATTTTCCTAGCTAGATCGTTTATAGCACTACATTTCAAAACTCTCTATCATACTACCATAGTATAAGGAAACATACTAATAATAATAATAGCTCCCGTATATTAGTGATTTGTCGGTATTTGAGTAACGCGATTTTGGAGCGGTATTTTTTTGTAACGTCGTGTCGCGCTCCACAACGAATCAGGAACCTGTTACTGAAGAACGACGATCATAATGACGACAAAATTATAAATTATTTATAATTTGCAAATAAATTATTTAT